GAAACGCTGTCCCTGAACTAGGGCTCCCAACTTCGCGCTTCGCGCTGCGCGAAGCGCGAATAACTTCGCGCTCTCGCGCCGCCCTCCCAGAAGGAGAATAGGAGGACGAGGAGGAGGGGGAGAAGGAACGAGGACCGCGAAGCGCGAAGCGCGAATAACTTCGCGCCCTCGGGGGAGCCCTTGCACACGATACTCCAGCGCCGCCAGGGAGCTCCAGCGCCGACCCGAGAAATCCGCGCAGACCTCGGGAAGTGTATGCTTCTGCCACTACTTGCTCCCGAGAACCCCTCGTCCCTGACGCTGCCCCTGGAGATCCCCTCCTCTCCCCGCCCCCTTCCCCCCAGCACGCGGAGGAGCACGAGGAGGAGCGGCGGTCCCGCGGTCTCTCTCTCTCTCTCTCTCTCTGTTCGTCCCCCCCACCCCCCCCTCTCTCGTGCCGCTCCCCCTCGTCCTCTCCGTCGTCCCGATCGCCGGCCCCACCACGGTCGGGCCCTCTTCCCACAGTGCCCCCCCTCCCCGCACACCTGCACGGTGGCGCGGGGGAGGGAAGAAGGCATCGGCCGCACCCGCCCCGCTTGCCGTCGCTCGGACGTCCACTCCCCGGTGCACTGCTCGGGCTTCGTGCGCGCTTCCTTGGCCCGATGATCCCCCTCGGTGGCCCTCGCGGGTGGAAGGGTGCACACGTCCGAGCGAGGCCCGGCCCGCGGGATCAAGGGTGCCAGCTTCGAGCTCCCCAAGCCTCTGCAAACAAGGCGTTAGTAAACGGGCCGGCATCTAAGGGCGTATATCTATACATACACAGTGAACAAAACGGATTCACCGCGCACAAGTACGTGGGACCCCCCCCCCGCCCAGAGCTATGATGATGCGTCGACGATGTTTTGTCGTACCGGTTCATCACGCACCCGTGCTGGGTAAATGCCCTCATTCCAGGCGTCACCCCCGCCGACACCCCCACATCGACCCCCGTCGCGGGCAGCCACCGCGCGCCGAAGGCGCTCCGACCCCCGTCGCGCCGCGACGACGAGGCGAGGCCGATCCCCGCCAGGGGGGGGGCATTCCCCCCCCCGCGCTGATTCGGCAACCCAGAGAGTGTTTGCCCCGCTCTCGCTTGAGGAGGCCCCTTAGCTACCGCCCCGTTGACTACCGCTCCGTTTGCAAGGGCTGGGGCTTCGATTGAGCAGGGACCGACCAACCCGGCATTCATCTAGTGCTACCACGAAATGTTCTTAGAATCCAAACATGTTCTAAGAACAAAAACAATGTTCTGAGAACATAAATCCGATGAGCTAAAACAAGACAGACTCCGCCAGAAATGGTCTAAGAACATTTCGTGGAGACCACAAAAGGTTCTTAGAACATTGCTTCGTAGGGCTATTGGCGAGCCAGGACGCTTCGTCACTGCTTGATTCGAGGAAGAGCGGCGCCATCCGCACAGCCCCCCCGGGCACTGCGGGGGGGGTGGGGCTCGCCTGCCCGGGCGTCGAGCAGACGTCGGGCACCGCGCTCCGCTCCTCGGCATGGGCGGGGCCCGGGCGGCCCTGGGGCGAGGAGGCGCCTTCCGTGGCCGCCCGGGCTGCGCAATGCGCAACCCGCAGCGTGTGTGTTGTTCTTGCTAGGTTTCTATATCATATGTACTTATATGAGTATACAAAGTATGTGTGTATACATGTGTATATATATATATATATATCCACAAGACTCAGGCAAGCACCTCTGGATTGTGACTTCCGCACGCGCAGGTCGTCTGCGGCTTGCTTCAGGTTCAGGCCCCCGCCCCGTGCATGCAAGTAAACTTGCCGGGGTAATGAACAAGCTCTTCTCGGGGATGGACATACCTTCCTCTAGTACAACGTGGTTTAGTGAAAACGACCTGAGGCCCAAACCTGGCGGGCGCAAGCCTGGAAAATAGCGGCCACGGCGCCCTCTCGAGAACCTAAAACGGACAATTCACTAATCGACGTGTCACTGTTGGGGATTCTGTCCACCCCCGATCTTCTTAGCTAGATGGGGTCGGAGCGCAACCAGCGCGTATCATAACGATGCGCGGTTAAGGGCGCGTGACGCGCGGGCCTCGCAGCGCCATCCCGACGTGTTTCGAACGAGGTCGGCCAGCAAAGGCTTACCAAGAGTCGGCCGGCGGGGGAGGACGCAATGGCAACCTCGGGAAGGTTGCCCATACGTCAGGTTCGTGTCGTGCCGACTTCGGCGTTGGTTTCTGACACCGCGGGGATCGTTCAACCTTGAAAGATCGGCCGTGTCCGAAACGTCAAAATCCTTCCACATCGAATGATTCTGGGTCGCCCGCGGCGTTTCACGTTGAACGCCGCTGGCGGGGTCGCCGCCGGTCGACACGACACGAACCTACCGTACTCACTGTCCGGGTTGACTGTAGATGGGATCGCAAGGTCACGCCGCATCGCCACAAGGCCGCATCGCGATGCGGCTGGAATGCGGATCCGAACTCTCTGAACGCCGACGGCGCCGAAGTCGCCCATGCATCGCCGATGCATCGCCGATGCATCGCCGATGCGCCGCGCGATCCTCCGACCCCATCTATACTCCGACCCTGACTAGGAGGCCTAGAGCCTAGAGTTAAGTCGGGCCTGTCCCCCTACAGGGGGATTTTGCACGAAAAATAAAAAATACCCTCAAAATAATCAAAAAAAATCCAAAAACAGTCTGGGGACTATTTGTTGGGTATATTTTGGCCTTTTCGGTGCATTTTTTGTGCATTTTTGAAACAAATCGTCGAAAATCCCCCTGTAGGGGGACACGCCCGACATAAGCCTAGAGTGTTGGCACGGGGCTCAACACGTGGATCGACTGCGTACGTTTGGCGCGGTGCGCTAGCCAAAACGCGGGCCGGCGCGTGCCGAGCCGGCACGCAGCACGCACATTGGCACCCGACGCTCTGCGCGCGGCACGTGCTGCGTTCCAACACCCATAGAGAATCACGACCGAGGGCTCCTGCTGTTCCCGGCCTCCAGGCCGACCGGCCACAACTGGGGGAGCCGTGGTCCTTACCCCCCTGGGGGAACCCATCGCATCGGCGATCCCTCGAGTAGGGGAGGAGGAGGAGGAGGAGGAGGAGGAGGAGGAGGAGGAGGAGGAGGAGGAGGAGGAGGAGTGTCGAAATCGATGGGTCCCCCAGGGGGGTAAGGACCACAGCTCCCCCCGTTGTGGCCGGCCTGCCAGGGGCACTCGCCGGGCCTCGAGGCCGGCAGACGTCGACTCACGATGGAAAGCTGTTCCCGGGGGAGAGGGTCGGGGACTTCCGGGGGAGCCCGACCTGAAAACGTCAGGACGTGGCATGCCTGGGAAGGAGGAGGAGGAGGAGGAGGAGGAGGAGGAGGAGGAGGAGGAGGAGGAGGAGGGGGGGGAGAGAGGGGAGGAGGAGGAGGGGGGGAGGAGGAGGAGGAGGAGGAGGAGAGGAGGAGGGGAGGTGACCGGGAGGTGACCTCAAGGGGGGATCCTTGAGCTCGAAGCAGCCAGGCTCGCCGAAAGAGCAGCGACGGGCCCCCGACAGCGAAAGCGCAAGCTCCGGAGCGGGGCGGGCTTGCGGCGCCCTGTCGGCGATGAAGGCGCGAGTGGGGGTCGACGCATCCCCCCCCAGAGAGCCCATCCCCTCCCTCCCTCCTCCTCCCTCCTCCTCCTCCTCCTCCTCCTCCTCCTCCTCCTCGGAGGGCGGGGAGAGGAGCCAGCGAAGATGTCTCCCCTGTACTCCCCTCCCTCCCGTCGTCCCCCCTCCCCCCCGCGCGAACCCTCGCCCTCTAGGATCACACAGCAGGAGTGCTACCCTCCCCTCTCCCCCAGAAACGCTGGTGAGATGCCCTGGCCTCCTCCGCACACAGGATGCCGCCGAGTTGAGGATCAACGTGTTTTTCCCATCCGAACGTTTCCAGTCGTTTCAGAATGGCGCTCTCGCTACAGCGTTCGCTTCATTTTCCCGTTCCCAATCCTTCCAAATCATGTGCCCTCTGCAGCGCTGAACTCATGTCATTGCTTCGGTTCTTCAAAATATTGTTCCTGCTGCAATGCAAGCTTCGGTTCGCGCTTCCACTTCTTCTAAAATCGTGCTCCCACTGCAGCGCTGGTCTCATTTCCGCGGTGTCGGTCCTTCGAAATCGTACTCCATCTGCAACGCTGATCTCATTTTGCGATTCCCGCTTTCCAAACAGTCCATTTGTATGTTCCGTCCTGTGTCGTTTCTGGTTTCCCTTTCACCTAGTTGTCGAAATGAGTCGCGTTCTCGACGCGACGACGTCGGCTGCGGCCGTGCTTTTCTATGCCATGCGATGCCGTGCTATACTATGCATCGCGTACTCTCTGGGGACCATTGCCCTGGTCGACATCCGACTGTGCGAATAGAGAGAAGATCTACGCAATCTTAAGAGATGGCAGGCAGGGGTTGGACGTCAGATATGACGCTCGCGCACCTAGCTTGCCAATCCCCTGCCCTCGCCGTCCTCGCCCCCACGCCCCCGGCGAGCGGACGCTCGGCGTCGCGCCCGGGGCGGCTGCTCGTTCGTCGCTGATGGCTTCTGCTGCCTGCTCGTCGTCGCTGACGCGGTCAGCCCAAGGTCGATGCCCGTGCTCATTCTGCGGGCCGGCGTCGATCGCCGCGATCGCCGCTGGCTCGTCGTGTGCCGCTGGTGCTGCCAGCGACGTCATCGGCGCCGTGCCTTCGTCTTACCCGCGCGAGCGGACGACGAGGAGCGCCGAGGCGCGGGCTCGGGTACAGCCAGCTCCTGCAGGAGTGGTCTGAGCCGGCATGGGTGCGATGCTGCTCGCGCCTGGCCCTGCTGTTTTCTCTGAGTGCGCCTGTTCCCTCGACGGCCACAGGACAGGCCCAGCTCGAGCAGACACGCATGAGCTGGAGATGTGCCCACCTTGAAGGGGCCCAGGGACACACAAGTAAACACACGCAAATCCCAGGTTTCCCCATACTTGTCCATATATTTTTTGGATAGTCGTCTGCCCCCCACACTTCACAGATTTTCGCATATTTCCCGGGAGTCGACGAGTCATTCTGTCTGTGTATGTTGTTCCCTCCTGACACCTTCCAGACTCAGCATCAACGGTGCGTGCCTTCGCCTCTCAGGTCAGGACTGGGTGGAGAGTGGGCCGTGTGGGCAGAGGTGCCTGCTACACGGGGCTGCCACGACCAGCGACGGGCTTCCTGACGGCCACAGCATCGAGAACTGCGCATGTGAGCGCGAGGGGGTCCCGTCTGTTGCCGTGCACGGCGGGGCGAGGAGCAGCAGGACGCGGACCAGCTTCAGTATGCCAGTTCGCTGTGGTGATACTTGGTGGTGTCTGCGGGTGCGCGAAAGGCTCGATTGTTTTGGGGGGCTACGTGCTGCTGCATGTGTTGCGCTGTGGCTTCGAAAAGCGACGCTGATGCGTTGCGGTGCGTCCTCTCGTTCCCCCATGGCGTCCAACCTGCTACGATTTAGACTCTCACTTGAGCGTTGCTGCTCATCATGGCGCAATGCTTACGTGCAGAGACTCTTCATCTTGGCAGCGCCAACGACTGTGCTGGAGGACAGTCTGGATGTGTTCACGAAGCTGGTTGATGCTCGCCTTGAAGCCAGCATTCTCCCCTCAACGATGCCACCAATCGAGCGTATCAGCGTGTCGCCTTGAACCCTCCTGCGCCATATCCACATCTCCCTTCTCCTCCACATCCTCCTCCTCGCTTCCGCTTGCGCTCCTCATCCCCCGTCGCCTACTCCGCCTCCTTGTCATCGTCCTCCCCACGCGGCGTCCCACTCCTTGCGCGCGGAGTAAGGCGTCATCATGGCAGCCGCTCGGTCCTGGGTCCCCAGCGCGGTTCGGTATGAGGAAAGGAAGAGAGGAGGTCGAGGAGACCGAGGAAGAAAGAGGGCGGTGGAGGGAAAATGAGAAGAGAGGATGGCGGCAAAGGAGAGAGGAACGAGGACGGAGAAAAGAGGGAGGTGGATGGGACAAGGGAGGATGAGTTCAAACGAGGCGGTCGAGGGGGAAATTAACTTCCTGCCGTCTCCTCACAACTGTCGCTGCCGTCCTCCCTCTGTTGACAACCATCGCTGCAGTCCCCCTCGTGAGACAAAGAATAGGGGATACTGGTCTCTTGATAATGGCCTGCGGTATCGGCTCCTAGGGGGCTAAAGCCCGAAAAGACCATAACTGCAAGCTCCGCAATGAGCCTCAGCAGGGAGCTTTCAGATCTGATCTGGCCCCTTCGCGTCCGATGGCGGGAAGCTTGTGGAGGAGAAAGAAGGAGGAACAGGAGAAGCGGCATCGTCACAGCTCGGCCGTCATAGCTTGCGATGTTGGCGATGACTCTGCAAATGAGGGGAACCGGTCGGAGGGGGGACCGGCCCAGGGAGGGGGGGGGACATCGACCCGGAAGCAACGACGCATCGCCGAAACCTTGGCGATCGGCCCCCGATCGCCAAGCCGCACGGTCTTGGGCGGGCCGGGCCATCCATCGGACCCCTAATGGGCGACTCAGTGGGCGATCGGGAGAGGATGCATCCTCCCCGCAGCGCCTGCGCCCCCCCTGACGTCTCCCCCGGGCAAAGGGCAAGCTTGTGCAGTGCGAGGAGGAGGAGGAGGAGGAGGAGGAGGAGGAGGAGGAGGAGGAGGACGAGGATCCCCGCACGCTGCGCAAGTGAGCAGTCGTCTCAGGGCGAACGCGCGGCGCGCGCCCGCGGCGGCCCGTAAGGCGGGACAGGCCAACGCGGGCGGGCCGTGCGACGCTCTCAGGCGGCCTCGTTCAACGAGGGCACCCGGGCGGCCAAGGGAGGCCGCAGCAGCGCCGCAGGTCAGCCTTCGAAGAAGGAGGGAGGAGAGAGGGAGGGGGCCGAGAAGCTGCAGACGACTGCAATCAGCGGGCGCGATGGGGATAAGAAGAAGCATCCCCGCACGCTGCGCAAGTGAGCAGTCGTCTCAGGGCGAACGCGCGGCGCGCGCCCGCGGCGGCCCGTAAGGCGGGACAGGCCAACGCGGGCGGGCCGTGCGACGCTCTCAGGCGGCCTCGTTCAACGAGGGCACCCGGGCGGCCAAGGGAGGCCGCAGCAGCCGCACCCAGGCTCAAAGCCCTTGCGAAGTGACAAGGTTTCGGCGGGCGGCCGCGAGCTGAATGGGCCACACAGCCGGGCCAACATTCAGAAAGGATGCGACGAGGAAGTCGCTGGAGTCGGCGAGGTAAGAAACACGGTCCCGAGCAGCTTCAGCCAATGATGGGAGGACTGCAGAGGCGGCAACATCGTAAAGATATCGCTCCGTACTGGAAGCTTGCCGCCAGCGATCACGCCAGAAGACGCGAGTAATGCCGTCCGAAATATCGGTTCTGAAGCGCAGCGCAGGGGACAGATCGAACCCCGATGGCGCTCTGGCGAGCGGGACGCCCAGCGCCGAAAGAAGATCGAGCCACCGAGTACGGAAGCCGCTTTGACCGAAGGTCAACAGGGGATCGGTGGGAGTCAAATCTCTGAAGACCAGCTCCATCATCCTGACCACTGCTCGGTCGGAGCACCGAGCGTGTTGACGCTCTCCGCCCGACCCCTGGGCCTCCGGAACAGAGATGCTCAGCAAAGCGTCGCCCGCGGACTCACGGCGGTCAATGGGCAGAGTGAGGTCGCTCCGGCGGGCGGTTGCCAACTCACCAGGCCTCACGGACATAGTGAACACGGCAAGCAGCAGGGTGGCCATATCAGGCCAGTCCCATGCGAGGCACAACGCTACCATGGCGCGCAGCAAAGCACGTGGCAGCGGTGGGATGGGACAGGGAGGCTTGGAAGGGATCCACCGTTTTGCCACATCCCACGCCTCGGTGAGGACGCCCCTCCACTGGGGCTGAAGAGCCTGCGCTCCCCGGATCGCATTCACAAGGACGAGGCGGGGGAGGCCAGCATCGTACAACCACACGCCGAAGGTCGCGAGCGCTCTCCCGAGCAAGATGCCGCTGCGGGCCCAAGTGGCAAGTGCCACACCTGTGTGCTCGACGCACCACACGTCAAACGCTTTAAGCGAACGAGTGCGCTGGTCGTCGCAAGAGGGGACGAGCCGACAGTGGCTGTCCACCTGCACCCCGAGGGCCTCGGAAGCCCCCTCGGGAAACGCAGGCGACAGAGAGGCAGGCCACTCCTGGCGCCCTGCCACGAAGGCTGGCGCGGGCGGCTCGCGACCAGACGAATTGGCCGGAGTGGTAGCTGCCGCTCCGGCGAGCGCCCGAACACGCCTGCGTTTGCGCTGTTCGGCGCGGGGGGCCTCGCTGACATCGCCGGTGCTCGGCGCGACTCCCGATTGGCGGTGCGTAGCGCTACCGGCCGTGGTGGGAGCACTCAGGGGCGCGCCGGCATCGGCTGCGGCGGCGCCTCCACCCGAAAAGCCCGAAGCGGAAACGCAACCTCTGATGCATTCGGCAGTGCGAGAGCGGGCGATGCGCAACGCCGCCTTCTGGCGCTCGAGCTCGGCCAAGGACGACTGCAAAAGCTCAACCGGACTTGGGCCCCCAGCCTCCGCGCCTCGACCGAATTCAACTTCGGTAAGGGCGGCGTCGCAAGCATCGACCGAGGCGCGGAACCGTGCCAAAGCGCGCCGTTCGTCCCGCACGCGCTTCGCAACCGTGGTCGTCGGGCCCACGACCCGGCCGGTGCGCAGTGCTAACCCGGTGAGCGGATCGGCACGGGAGTCGGACCAAGTGAAGGCGTCAGCGCGCTGGACGGCACGGGCGTCGGCGAGCCCCTCGGCACGCGAGTCGGCGATCTGGTCGACGCGGGAGTCAGCGAGCTGGTCGGTGCGAAAGTCGGTGAGCTGGGAGGGATGACAGTCAGTGAGCTGGTCGCCGCGGGACTCGGTGAGCTGGGCGTCGCAGGAGTCGGCACGCTTGTCGGCGCAGCAGGAGTCGGGAAGGCTGGGAACCGGCGACACCTCGCTGCGTGCTGCGCTGTGGCCCCACGGAAGCACGGCTCTGGGTTGCGCCGCCCCGGCGGTGGCCGCAATGGCAGCCCGCTCGCGGGTAGCACGCAGCATAACCGCTGCGCCCTGCGAGCGCCCGGCCAGCAGGGCAGGCGCAGAGCTGGCGCGCGGCGCGACGCTATGGGCGTCGGTGCGGCACCCTGGCAAGGGGGGCAAGGTGCTGGCTCGAAAGGACGGGAGCGCCGCGACCGCGGTATGGGCGGCCCTCAGGTCGGCCTCCAGGCGAGCTTGCGTGCGTCGCATGGCGGCAGTGGGCATCGCGGGGGTCTGCACTGCGCAACGTGGCGCAGCCCGCGACCCTGAATCGCACCAGCTAGCGACCGCGCTCGGCTCTGCGTTTGGATACGCACCATGGGCGTTCCGACGCTCCCCCGGCACGCCGCGGGGGCGAGCACCAAGGGAGGCGTCGAGAGCCGAATCCCGAGTGGTGACCCCGCGCGAGCGGTTCGTGTCGTCACGCCTTCCCGCCGCCAAGAGCCCTCCGCCTGAAGCACGGCGAGTAGCGCCGCCAGAGGCCGGGGCATCGGAGCCAACCACATCGCGCCCAGGCCCGAGGATGAAGGCTTTGGCGTCACAGAGAGCACGCCATTTCCTGCTGGCCTCGATCGACGTATCGCGGCCGGGATGGCAGGCCCAACCCAGCCGTCGAAACTGAGCGTTCACGCGATCAGTGGTCGCACCGCGCTCCAGGTGGAGCAGGCCGTGCGCAGCAGCAAGTTTGGCGGCACGAGCTTGGCGGTGGCGAGTCTGAATCGTGACGGGTGGACGACCCAGAAGACCCCCCAACGAAGCGGGAGCCGAGCCGGTTGCCTTCGACAGAAGCGAGACGGGGTGAGTGTCCCCCGCAGGCGTACCAGGTCGAGCAGCGGCGATTGCGTCGCACTTGGCGCGTGACCTCCGCTCGGGCGCACCCTCTCCTGGTCCCCCGCCGGCGGCGCGAACTCCTCCCTGCGGGGCCGTAACAGCATCGCTGGAGAGGCGCATGCCTACCGGTGGGGACGGCGAAGGGCTTGGTACCCGAGGGGCGGCCGGCAGGCTGTCACGGGCGCGAGTGCATCGCGACGCGGAGAAGCTCACCGCTGCCGCGCTCGAGGGCACCTCGACGGAAAAGGGAGTCCCCCTGCGCGGCGCGGCGCTTTCATATGCGCCGCGGGCCTCGGCGGAGGCCGTCGCGTCTCCCCTGTCGACCTGGGCTGGCGCTCGCACGTGGCGATCCGCGGGGAGCCCGAGCGGGCCCGCGCCCGCGGCGGGGCTGCGAGCCAGAACTTGCAGCACGAACCGGCCCCACAGACAAGTCGGGTAGGCGGATGCGGCGTCGGCGGCCGCTATCATGTCGAATCGCTCAAAGCGCCCCTCGTCGATGTCAAGCAACCAAGCAGGCTCGACACGCGAGGGGGGGCGAACAGGGCGATTGCGCGTGGGGTCGTCCGCTCGGTGGACGTCGGTCGGAACATAGAGCCCGCCCATGTAGAGCCCGCCCCCCAAAATGTACGGCAAGGAGGTGCTCAACACATGCGAAAGGCCAGGGCTGCTGCTCCGACCGTGGGCGGCCGCGCCTAGTGCCACTTGAGAATCCAAGAGAACAGGGATCCGTGAGTCAGGGTTGCGGATGCAACAGTACTTGCACAGACTCTTGAACACGGTGGTCTCCAGGATGTTGATGTGGCGGGGCATGCGAAATTCCCACTTATAAGCTAAGCGGAAACGCAGCGCCTCCGACAACTCACTGACCCAGCGCGGTGCGATGGGGAGCTCGAGGGAAGGAAGCCCGGCCTCGCGGTGCAGCTGGGTCAACTCGGGGCCTAAAGGTTCCCCGCGGCTCAGAACCATGAGCAGATGGCGGTCGTGG